CTTGGGCATGGAGTTCACCAGAGCTTCACAGGTTGCCACTGGAGTCCTCTTCCACTCCTCCATGACGACATCACGTCACGGAGCTGGTGGATGTCAGAGACCCTGCGCTCCTCCACCTTCTGTTTGAGGATGCCCATGCTTGGCGGGGCTTCAAGAAAATTTCGAGTTTCCCACTCGTAATAATGAGATAAATACGATCTATCCGACATGACTTGAACGCACCATAATTTCACCATCAAATTAGCAGCTAATCCTAGAGTCACATACAACTGAATTTTGCCTCTCGCAGTATGTAATATTAGATCAGTTTCCTGAATAAATCAATGACAAAGTATGTAGTTCCGTCTCATTTGTTTCATTTATTTCTCTTTGTCTACTTTCAGGACTTGCGTGAAAATCTGATGATGTTTTGGGTCATATTTATGCAGAAATATAGAAAATTCTAAAGGGTTCACAAACTTTCAAGCAGCACTGTATGATCTTGGCATTGCCAAAATCTATTAGTAGAATATGCAATGTTTTGTTTAGGGTTCTTAATTTATTGAAGGGAAAAAAATGTTTTGATATATTGTTATTATTTATTAATATTTTATTAATTAATGTGAGGGGTGTACTCACTTCTGTGAGATACTGTATATATATATTTTTTATTAATAATTGTTTTAGGGCTGCCCTCAACTAAATAATTACTAGTCGACTAATAGTCAATCATTTAAGCCATTAGTCAACTATAAGTCCTTTTTCTGCGGCTAACTGAATAATACAATTTTGGTCGACTAACGTTTATATATATAGAAACATTATATATAACATTATACTAACATATATGTACCATAAAATATGTACTAACATAAAATAATTACATAACATATATTAATATATAGATTTTTTTTCAGCTAAAAGTTCTCTCTTTTATTTTACAGTAAAAAGTTCACTTGAACTAATATAAGCTATATGTAAGCTGCCAGATCCCACAATCATAAAGTCCTCTTTACGTCAAAAACAACCAGCATTTAACTGTCTCTAGAATATACACTAGCACTATGCCTGCAATGATGGGCAGCATTCCCTCCCTTTTCTTCAACAAAACAAAGGGGGGAAAAAAATCAATAAACCTTTCAGACACTGCATCCATTTGGCAAGGCTGGTTCAGCCCAACTTTCTCAAATGACAGAGAGAGAGAAAAAAGGAAAGCAATAAGATATGGCATCAGGTTACTTGTGATTGTTTTCCATCTGTCGTATCATCATCTCAGAGAAAAAATAGCACAATGCTCCAGATGAGAGCACTGTTACTGTAAAACCATAGATAATGGCATACAGTAAATCTATTGAATTCGGTTACTACGTTAACATTGCCTATATAGCTGAACACAGATTCCTGAGCTAAATTCAACAGAATCTGCCCAAAATTGCTGAATGTGAACACAAACATAGACGTGGTTCTCCTACCGTGATGGTTGTCCTCTGACTGGTTGAATCCACACAGCTGGCAGATGGAGCGCACCCAGCGGTTCATCTCCTCCTCCGTTTCTGCCACCATGTAGAAGGTTCTCTCGGCCGTCTTGATGTCGAACACAAAGCTGTCCTGGAACTCTTTGCGTTTAAAGGTGAGGCCGGCGTCCACCTGCTCGCAGCAGTGCAGGTCAATGATGCGAATGGGCTTTTTGGCATGGTCATTCTTGTAGTACTCAAGTACATCCGGGTCTCCGCTCATGCGCCCGCTACGCAGGATAAACCAGCGCTTCTTCCAAGCCTACAGACATAACAATGACAACGATGGAAGAAAGTTTGTATTATTATATACTGTATTATTAACCAACAATTTAGACAGACAGACAGACAGATAGATATATAGTAATACAGTAAAAACAGTAATAAATACAGTAAACACTAATATTGTGAAATATTATTATTATATTTTTCTAATAATAATATTATTATTATAATTTAAAAATTAAAACATTTTAACATGTCATTAATTCCTGTGAGGCAAAACTGAATTTTCAGTGTCACATGACCCTTCAGAAATCATTCTAATATGCTGATTTGCCTTTTCAGGATTCTTTGATGAACAGAAAATTGAAAACAGAAATCTTTTGTATCATTATAAATGTCTTTCCTGTCACATTTGATCAAAGTAATGCATCTTTGCTGAATTAAACTATTAATTACTGAATTAAATTATTAATTTGGTTACACTTTATTTCGATAGTCCACTTTAGACATTCTACTAACTGTAAGTAACTTTGCAACTACATGTCA